ATCCTCCCTGCCCCGGTCGAGATGCCACCTTGCGCCCCACCCCCCCACCAGGACCGGGCATGCATAGCCTCTGGCCTGCGCATGGTGACAGTCCTGGCTTGTCTGTGCCACTTGCTGGTTTTTGGGTCACTTTGCCTCTCTCTAGACTCCGGCTCTTGTAGTCAGGTCTCCTCTCAAACCTGACTGCCTGCATAGGAGCTGACAGCGCAGGCCCTCGGAAGTGAATGAGTGAATGAATGAATGAATGAATGCCTAAGGAACAGAGAGCTGGCCCCAGGATCGGTGCCCATCACCACACTCAGAAACTGCAAACAGGTGATGTCCATCCCCGTGCGCCAGGCAGGAGAGCCAGCACACGGTTGTACCAACGAGCACAGGATTTGGGCCAGGGCTCCCCATCCTCATCTGTCACTTGCTACCGGCCTGAGTCCTGGAAGGTCCAGGGCTTCTATGTCTCATCTGTGGCATGGGGACAACCACAGTGATAAGACCCCTCCTTCCTCCTTCAGCAAGCAGTCACTGGACACCCACCCTGAGTTTGGGCACAGGGGCATGAAATGCGGAGACCACGGTGGAGGGACTCCTGCCCTCTGGGAGCTTCCAGACCAGGCAGGTGTGGGGACCCCCAGGCAGTGAGAGGAGTGTGAGCTGCCTGCCAGGAGGAGTGAGCTCAGCTCGCCCTGGGAGCTCAGGTGGGACCACTGTGGGATGGAACAAGGGGCCCAGGCAGCAGGGCGGTGAAGTCCCAGGGCACGTGCCAAACAGTGACAGGGACCCATGGCTAGAGCTCTGTGGGCCACATCAAGCAGGACTTCGTAAGCCATGCCCAGATGTCTGCGCCTCGCCCTGGCACAGTGGGGCGAGCTCCTGTCAGCTCCGTAGTTCAACAGCTGTGGACGCACATGGAAAAACCAGTGACGGTCCCTGCGGTGATTCTTCGGGCACCCCAGGTCTGCCTGTGGCTCTGAGAGAAGTTTGATGTCTCCTTCATGTGGTCCCTGAGAACCAGCTAAGTGAGGCCCCCTGAAAAGAACGAAAGTGCTGGATGTTAGAGAGAAACAGGGGACGAGGAGACCCAGGCAGAGGGAGAGAAGTGTGGAAAATATCAGATAAGGGGGCACCTGGGTGGCTCAGTCAGTTAAGCGTCTGCCTTCGGCTCAGGTCATGATTACGGGGTCCTGGGATCGAGCCCCGCATCGGGCTCCCTGCTCAGTGAGGAGCCTGCTTCTCCCTCTGCCTGCTGCTCCCCCTGCTTGTGCTCTCTCTCTCTCTGTGTCAAATACATAAATAAAATCTTAAAAAAAAAAAAAGAAAGAAAAAGAAAATACCAGACGAGGCTTTGAACTCCAAGGTGTTTGGGTGCTGGGGGCCGTGCTGTGGGCTGGCCTCCTGCTTGCAGGAGGATCCAGGGCCAGTGCAGGGCTGGGGGCCAGAGAGGGGGCTCTGCTCACGTGGGCAACCCCAGAAAGCTTGCCTGGGTGTCGGGCAGCACCGGGTATAGAAGGGAAAGGGACCAGGAAGCAGTTCTGGGTGGGGAGGTGGTGGCAGCGCCCAGGTCATGGGATAAAGCCTCAGACAATGTGTCTCCTTGGGAGCACTTCCAACCTACCGTAATTCTCAGTGCCTACCTCCCCAAGCAAGCTGTATGCCCACGAGGGCAGGGCCAGTGTCTGCCTTGCCCTCTGTATCCCCAGGAACTAGTGCATAGCAGGTGTCTCACAATGATTTTGAATGATTCAAATTTCTTTCCTGTTCCTCTCCCCTCCCTCCCTTCCTTTCTTCCTCCCCTGTTCCAAGACCAGGTGAGAAATTTCATGTAATCCTTCAAATAGCACAAAGCTGGGTTAAGGTTTTGGGAGCTTGTCTTCAGAATAATGGGGGTACTTTGTACCTAAGGAGCAGGCAGCAGATTTCATAATGATGGAACTAAAGCTCAGGAATGTTAAGTTCCTTGCCCAAGGTCACGCAGCTTAACAAGAGGTAGGGCTGAGATCTGACCCAGTTATCTTAGAATCCATAACATGCTTCCTCCCTAAGTGAGGGAACTTGAAAGACTTGGCCCCTGAGATGGACTAAGCTGGGGTAGGATTTCTGCAGCCGTGCTTCTGGGCAGAGGACTCGTCCCCATGGGCTTCTGTGTCCTGGTCGGTAAGGATCAGGCTGAAGTGTACCTGGAGAGCAAGCAGGCCGGGCCAGGTTCCAGTCCGTTCAAGGCCACTCTTGGGCACCCCTGGAGGAAATGATCTTGAGATGGATCCACACCGGCTGAGCTCTGTCTGGTCTCTAACCATCCTCAGTCAGTGGGCAACTACTTCGTAAAAGATAACTAATAAGAAAACCTTCTGACAAGCACTTCCCAGTTTTCAAATCTCTCACTAAGGAAGGGGTGATACTGGGCTAGAATAACTGGTTCAGTGTTTGGGCTGAGGATTTCTCGTCTATCTGTCCCTCCCATGCCACCGTGCCCCATCTCGGGCAAGTGCAAACATGTTTTATTGAGTTAAGACTTGGCGCTCGCTTTTGTGCAGGCCTATAGCAGAGGACGTCCAGTTGGGGTGCGGGTGCTACCCCTGTGGAGCCCGAGGTGTCTGCCGTCAGAGCCTCCAGCCGGCCTGCCCGGTGTGAGGGGAATGACTAACTCTTTCTGTTCCTCTTTTCCCGTCCTGGGCTCACAGGGGCCACAGTGAGGGAGAGGAAGAAAAGTAAGTTTCTGGAGGGGCAACCCCGTCCTTTTCTTGCGTGGCCCAGGCAGCACGCCTGGGAGGAAGGGAAGACCGAGGAATTTCCTGGGTGACCAGTTGCTTCTCTCCGTGTCCCAAGTGAGTCTGAAAGCCCTAGGGTTACACGGTCACAGTCAGCACCTGTATCTCCCTTCTCCCCCGGAGACCTGCGGAAATGATGGTAAAGGAATACACACGCGCCAGTCTGCAAGGACAAGGAGACTCACAGAGCAGAAACAGCGGGCTAGTGATTTCTAGGACTGGCGGTACTTTAATGGGAGGCAGACAGAAGCCGGCGGGATGCACGGGAACTGGGGCAGAGCAGCGCATAGCTGGGGTCCTTGCTGGGCGTGTGTTCTCAGAGGCGGCCACGCGTGGAGCTCACATGATCAGATGGCCTCAGTGTCCACCGTCCCATCTCCGAGACGAATTCTCAGTATGCCCTTGGGCAAGTCTGTTTCTTCTTTCCAGGGCTCCTTTTTTCCCATCTGTAATATGGAGAGACCATGCTAGACACGTGATTCTTCCGGTGCCTGAATTTCCTGGAGTGTTTTTCCCCCTCAACATGGATAGGCACATAAGTTTTGATTCTGATTCTGAAATGGGGCCAGGACATTTACCTTTCTTCAAAGGCTCTCCCAGGAAGCTTCAAAAGCCCCTGTTGCTGATGGTCTTTGAGGGCCCGTTCAACTCTGACACGTTGGGACTCCCCCCTCACCCCACCCAGCTGTTAGTTTGGAGAATACACCGGGGCCGGGGTGGGCAGGTGGCAGGGATATAAGACCCTCAGGTGGGGGGTCCAGGCACAGGGGGCTTCAAAGGAGGTTGAGTGCCCATCTGCTGGAGACAGCAGAAGGCTCGATATGGAGACAGCGGCATTTGAAGAGGGTAGAAAACCCACGGAGGAGACAGGGAAGACAGGGCCTTACAGGTGGAGGTCACCGTGGGAGCATTATCCTAGCAGTAAGAAAGTCGGTGGCATGTTCAGGGCACTGCAAGTATTCAAACTTGGAGACAGACATAGCGTGAAGAACCACGAATGTCCAGGTGAGCACCTTGGGTGTCATCCAGTTGGCAATGGGAGCCATGCAGACCCTCGAGCTAGAGAACGCGTGATCAAAGAGATTAGTCTCGCCAGCTCTCTATGGTTACATCATGCCTCCTGATTTTCATACAGGCGTTCGGCCCAGCCACCTTTTCTGGAGCACCTACTAAAATGCTCTTCATACCAAGCACGTCTCACAATGTCTCCATGACCCGGCCGCTTCAGAGCTATACAGGCACACCCCTTTCCTGCCATTCCCCCACCCATATCACTCTCCTGACCCCACGATCCGGCTCCACCTGGCATCTCCGGAGGAGCGTGCTCCCTCCATGCCTCCCTGCCTGTACGCAAGCCCCTTTTTCTGGTGGCCTGCCCCTTCCCACTTTAGCCCTTCTGCAGGAGGCTCTGCTTGGAGAGCATTCCCATGGGAGGCCTCTCTGATGCTCCTGGGCAGCTCCTGGTCCTCCCCTGGCCCCTCCAGATGGCACATCTGCTGCTGACCTTACGCAGTGTGGCTTTTACTTGTGCCTCTGTGAATCGAAAAGTCAGCGGCTTGGGGTCAGGCACTGCCTCTTGATGGTAGCTATCTTTCCTGGGGCTCACTGAGGACCCGGAGCAGAGCAAGCTGCTGAGAAGCATTGAGTGATTGAAGAAAATAGAAATAGCAATGATCTGGCCTGGGCCCTTGACCTAGCGAATCTCACTGAACTCTTATTGCGGTATCTCTTTGGGGCACGTGTCACTCTTTCCATCTTGCCAGGCATATGTGACTGGGGGTCTGGGAGTTTGGGCAACCGCTGATCTGCAGGCCTGGGATTCAACCCAGGTATGCCTCAGCCCTGACCCCCTGCCCCCCAGGTTCGGAGCCAGCAGCTTCAGCCCAGGATGGAAACACGTGGGGTCAGAGAAGCCACGCAACTTCCTCTCCCTCACCTCTCTCCACTTCCCACTTAGCTGGGACAACTCCTACTCATTTTCTCAAGATCCTTATCTGCTCCTGCACTCGGGGAAGTTTCCCCATCCCTCTCACACCACCCAGGAGAGGTGGTGGGGGTGAAGGAGTGTTCCATGTGGTCACTGGGTGTGAGTAAGTATCTCTCCTCCCTGTGACTTCCCCACCTCTGCACCAGGGCCTGGGAAACCCCACTCAGGTCTTCGAATAAAAGGTCCGGGCACTGCGGGATTAGCCAGGGACGAGCTCTTAGCTTCACCAGACACATCGAGACCACTGTCGAGAGGTCTGAGCCACACTGTGCAGGATGAAGCTCGTCACCATGGCCCTGGCGTGCATGCTGCTGGCTGGGATGTGGCTTCGAGACGTGGACGGCAGGAGCAGTGAGTGTGGTTGGAGTCACTTTGCTCCTTCGGGGAGGGGTGGGGGGCAGACACCCAAGCAGGCACTCTGGGCTTGTGGGCAGGGCTCACCCTGAACTCAAGGCCTCTGTCTCTCCTCTGGGAAGAATTCCTTGTAAAAAGGGTGAACGGAGAACTTGGATGGGGTGGGAGCAGGTGTCTGGGCGAACACAACATCTGAGCTGCTAGTTTCAGCAAAAGGAAGCCCTGCCTCATCCAGGGAGCTCTGAGGCTCTTTAGGCCAAATTCGGAGGCCTGTGGTGCAGAGGAGGGACTGGGTCTTGCTTGCACCCAGTAACAGATAACAGGGAGATCCTGAAGTCAGGACCAGGACTGAAACAACTGGCTTGTCACTGTTAGGCAAGTGTTGGGTCAGTGACTTGGCCAAGTCACTTTACCTCTCCAACTGTGCATTCCCTGTTGGTAAAATGGGATTGATAATGCCGGACCTCAGGGCTCTTGAGAGAGGACTGACCTCTCTCTCCAGGCACATGGCACCTGCTAAGAATTCCAGGCACATGAAAGACGTTGTGCAAACAATAAAACGAGAAGCAAGGAACCAGGATTAGAATTCGAGTCTCTTGGGGATGGGGTGTGGGAGAGAGTGTGCAAACCCGCACAGTGGGCGTGGGAGCCCGGACAGAGCTACGGGCCTGGGTAGAGGGCATTCTAGAGAGAGGGTGGGAAGCCTCTTAATTCCTGGAAGCTCTTTCCTTGTCACTCCATCAGCTGGAACTCCTTGAGCAGTTCCTAATCTGGCCCCAAAGCCATGGCCCATGGTTGTCCTGCACGCACCAGACTCACTGGGCCCACCGAGTAGGGGTCCAGAGCCCTTGAACCCAAATATTGGGCCAGAATCGTGCATTCATGGTGGGATGTCAGAACTGGAAGCACCTTTAGAAATCAGTCCAAAAAGTCCTATTTGACAGACAGGAAGTCTGGGGCCCAGGCGAGGGCTCATCCTGATCAAAGCACACAGTTGGTTTGTGGGGAGCTGGGATCTGAACCCCAGTGTTCCGACCCTCTGCCTACATACAGAACTAGGTGACTGATGACACAGACACTGGGCTGGATGTGGTCCCCAAGCCTGGGCCTGTCCCCAAAAGAGTTTTTGTTTTTTTTAAACCACTTGGATGAGAGGAATGAAGTCCAAGTTAAAGAAACAGATGCAAACCATTTTTGTGCTTCTCTTCTAGTGCACGTGTCATCCTCCAACTGTTGTTTCGTCTTTGTGAAGAGGAAGATTCCCCAGAAGATAATCCAGTGTTATAAGCCCACCAGCTCCACCTGCTCCCACAAGAGTCTAATGTGAGTGTTCCTACCCTGGTCAGGAATTCCTGACTCCCTCCTCCGGAGAGCGGAAACCAGCCCGCCTGGAATTAGATGGCAGACGCTAGATGGCGCTGATCCACCAGATTCAGGTTTCTAAACCTGGAGCGAGGCCTCCAAAATCTGGGTGCAGAGCTCAGCATGAGCGCTAGGGGGAGCGCCGCGCTTCTTAGCAGGTGCCAGGAGGGATGCCCCGCTACGCTCCTGCAGTGACTTGTGTTTCTCGGAACCCCAAGGCGCCGAGTATTATATCCTAATATTTTATGCCAGAAGAAGGAATTGCTTAAAAGCTCTAGGAATTACTGTGTAGTGGGAAAAGTGAGGGGGTCATAATTATTTCCTGTTTCCGGATTTGCCAACCTAGAGTCTTAGGTGACCCTGGGCCAGTAATTCTTCTGCACCTCATTATATGGGTACTCCTCTGCACTCCTTATCTGTGAAGTGGAGTAAAAGTGATAGCTGCATCACAGGGTCATTACAAAGTTAGACCAAGGTGGCTTACCCTCGCTACTCGGCATCTATAAAGCATTCATGTATATTATCTTGGCTAACCCTCTTGGGCACACATTTTCATTATCATGAACACCGAAGTTCAGGGAAGTAGTGAGATTTGTCTGCGATCACCCAGATGATTAAAGTTAGAATTGGTCTATAGTTTGGTTGGACAGTAGCCAAGTTAAAGAGGTGGGCAGGTCAGAAAATAAACACACACACACACACACACACAGACACACACACAGACACACACACACACACATACATACACATTCACAGTGAATCTAAAGCAATGACTGAGGGTTCCAGATAGACATAGACACATGAAAAGATGGATCAAGGGCCCTCAGAGATATTCTAGGAGGGAAATTTCCATACTAGCTAATCCTTAGAGTGTCTGCAGCCTTTACTCTACCCTAATACAATGAATCATGCTCTCCAGAAAGGGGAGAAACTCAATTTAATTAGCTCTCTCCGAAGCTTGTGTGTTCCTCCCAGCGTGCATGCCACAGGTATCCCGCAATGACTTCATTTTACAAGCCCAGAGCGAGTAGCTTGGGGGCACCCCAGAGTGGGGGATGGGACTTGTGTGTGGCACCCCGGGGGGCAAATCCTGTGACTCAGCTCCTCCTTTGTTCTTTGCCCACAGAATCAAGCTGAGGGGCGGCAGAGAGACATGTGTCTTGGAGACAGCCTCATGGGTTAAACCTCATTTAAAAACTATGAAACCATGCCCGCTAAAGTAAATGTGGGAGGATTTCTTTCCATCCTGGACTCCGAAGACGGCGTGGCTTCACCTGTCCCCCCAGCCCCCCACCCCACACCAGTCCTTCTGCCCAGCTTTGCCAGGTCACGGAGGGTCTGCTCAGTCCTGATAAGCTATGTTGTTGCACTTTATATATTTAAATGTTAGAATCTTCGATCCCTGCCTCTCTGGGCTTCTTGGATCCCACAGGGACTTCAGGGTATAAGCTTGATTGGCAGTGAGAAGCTGGGGCCAGGGGCAGGTGGAGCGGAGGGGGGAGGCATGTTGAAACTGATGCCCAAAGAACTGACTTCTTGTCCAAAAGAGCCAATAAATTGCTTACACTTCTCACTTGACTGACTTTGTCTTTGGGGGTGGGGATGAACGTTGAGTCAGGGCCATGATGGAGATTCTGTTTCCCCTGGCAGCAGGGGAAGGCACAGTGAAGCAGAAAGTGGGAACCCAGGGTTGGGGTTCCAGAAGCCACAGCTGGCCTAGCTAGAGGGGATCTTGTGAGGTCATCCACCTGTAAGATGTTGCTAGCCCCATTTTATAGATGAGGTGCCTGACGGTTGGCGAGGGACAGAGACAGGTCTGAGGATACAGAGCGAGTCAGGGTCCGATCTGGTGTTAGAGCCCAGGGCTCCTGCTTTCGGGTCCAGAACTCTCTCCTGTGTCCCAAGTTGCCCAGTGACTGCCTGATACAGCAGGGGGGGAAGGGACCCTCTGTCTACCGGGCAGATCCTGCAGAGCCAGTTAGCAGGACCTCCTCTTGTCCAGGCATGAGCGGATCCTAGGTCTTACAGAGATGCCAGCCCAGCTCATGTGCAGGAGGGAGGCAGTCTTGGGGAGAGAAGGAGAACCTTTCGCCAACATCTGGGAAGCAGAGACCCTGCCCCTGTGGGCCCCCAGGGAGTACAGCAAGTGAGGGAAGTGACTTGTGGATTGCCAGAATCTCAGGACTGGCCCCCTTTTGAGGGCCGGCTCGGTGGCTTTGGGGGAGAAGTGGTGCCCTGTGCTGAGAGAGGCGTCTCTCCTTCCCCCAGCATTGCACGTGTCACAGATCTTGGCCGTTCTTCTTCAACCGCCTCCTCCCTTCCGCCCCCCACAACCCCCCTGCTTCCTTCTCCTCCCTCTTGCTGGGGCCACTGTGGAGCAGGGAGCTGTGCTTAGCTCTCCCTTGCCAACTCCATCCTGCCCACGGCCACAGGCCACTTTGCCTGGCCTGCCGCTGCTCTCCACCCTCTGAAGGTCCCTCCCTCCCGCCCTCAGAACTGACTCCAAACTCTGCACCTTGCTATTCCAAGTCCTCTACAACCACACCTCCAGCTTCCTTTCTAAAGCGCTCTACCTTTTCTGTTCCAGAACTTAAACTCCGACCATAGGGGATATTTCCTCCAGGCCCTCCCCTGTCTTTTCCAACTTGAGCCTCCTCTAGAAGAATCTTTGCTATGACTGTGTTCTGGTATCCTCCAGGGTCGATGCTAACGAGGACCGGGTCATCTCGTTTTTCCCCTGGGTCATTCCAAGGACCACTTGGAGTGGGGAGGCACGGGGCCAGAGACCAATTAGAAGCTGACGCTAGGGGTTGGAGTCATTAGTCTAGAACACGCTAGGCTGCTGGGTCGGGCCCTCTGCAACAGTCAGATGAGCCCAGCTCAGCCACCAGCCACCACGAGGTCCTCCCCACAGCCAGCCCCCTCTGTCAGCCACCTGCCCCCACCTTGGAGCGCCCCCTACTGGTTGGAAGTTACCCTCCCCCAAGAAAACACCACCATGAGAGATTTTATTTTATTTTTTTCTCTTTAAATTTTTTATTGTTATGTTAATCACCATACATTACATCATTAGTTTTTGATGTAGTGTTCCATGATTCATTGTTTGTGCATAACACCCAGTGCTCCACGCAGAACGTGCCCTCTTTAATACCCATCACCAGGCTAACCCATCCCCCCACCCCCCTCCCCCCTAGAACCCTCCGTTTGTTTTTCAGAGACCATGGGAGATTTTAAACACGATGTACTTTCTGCAAAAAGTCAACAATCTTACGAATGGCATTCTCCTTTCTGTAATAACATATTTAGCTGCACCTTGCTTTCACAAGGCCCTCCCCTCCCCGGATTGGAGTAGCCCTTCATCTCCATGATTTGTAGGCACACGCATCGGCCGGGGAGTTAGGCAGGAGACAGATCCGCTGCCTGCAGCTTTTACAAGGGATGGAACCCTGGCTGATGACAGGAAGCAACTGGCTCAAGGCCTTGCTTTAAAAAAAAAGGTCCCCAGTATTCAAAATAAGCCCCAAACCAGCAACAATTCAAATAACATTAAATATTACTTAACACATAGTACATCTTTTGCATCACAAAACAGCACACTATTTGAAACTATAGTAAAATTAGTCCAGGGTCTAGCTGGGGAAGCTGGAGGAGCATAAACAGTCGTTCGATTCTCATACTTGGCTTGGTCTTAGTGTGGCTTGAAGAGTTCAAGTCCTCAGGGTATGAGGTTTTCGATCGAGGTGTTTCACATAATCCTGGACCCACTTCTCCTTTGGGTTGGCACAGATAGTCTTGGCCAGTTTCGTGCTGAAGCTATGGATGAAAGAGGCCTGCACAGTTAGGTGGAAATCAGGGTTTTACCCAAGCGATGCCTCCCTGGACTCTCAAACCTGCCTGGTCCACCCGCTAGAGGGGAGGGGTCCTCTGTGGGGCGGGACAGGAGGAAGCTGGGGTGTGGAAAGAAGGGGACTCTGGAAGTAGTCACTTTTCTCGGAGGCCCCAGAGAAGCTGGCCTGGCCTCAGCCAAAGCAAAGTTGAGACTGAGCTAGCACCCATTCAGGGAGCAGGTGGAGGACCCGGCCCTCTCCGGGCCTGTTTATGATGCAATCATAGTCTGGTAAAATCTTACCCCCCGAGTATAAGATCCCGAAGTGGTCTGATGACTGTCTTCTGGGGTGGAACTTTGGATCAGGGGACGTGGGAATGCGGTGGGGTGTGGTCAGGTAGGGGATGAGCAGGGTTTTTCTACCTACATGACAGCTTCCCGGGGACAGTGGCTGCTGGTGATTCGATAGCTCTCCAGCTTCCGCAAGGGGATCTTCTTATTGTTAAATGTGAAACAGCAAGTGAATAGGGCGCTGAGTGCATCTAGAAATAAGGTCACAGAGAAAAAGCGTTTTAGGAGGCGCTAGGTTTTCATCAGCTTGAATACGGCAGGAAGTGCCTGTAGGGAAAGGGAAGGAAAGAGGTCGATGTGGCTCTTATCCACCTCAAGTCCAGCACTCCTGGCCCGGAGCCCTGAGACGGGGGGAGGACTAGAACATCTCAGCTGCGCGGTGGGGATGCATCGTTGTTGACCGGGGAAGGCCAGTGGGACAGGTCCTGGCTCCGGTGCTCCAGATGCAGCATTTGGGAAGCTCAGCTGGGGTCAAAGAAAAGGCCCTGGGTTTGGAGCGAGCGGCCTAGGTTTTCCTCTGGCTCTGCAATGGCTGGAGGTGGGTGGGTAGGACCCCTCCTGTCCCCAACTTGGCCTTCAGCTTCCTGTCTTTAAAATTAGACATTCAAGTGAAGCTCTGAGGACTCCCACTGCTCGAATAGGCTCAGAAGTGGGGCACTTCAGCTTCGGGCTTTCTAGAAGGAGAAGAAAACAAAAAGGAGGAGAGCGAGCGGGAAGGAGGGAGGGAAGGGCTTACCTGGCTGGGCGAGCACCTGGGGGCTGAAGGCGGCGGCTGTGAGCAGCAGGTACAGAAGCGTGGCGGAGACCTTCATGTCGGCGGGGAGCAGGGAGACTGGGCGTGAGCGAGAGCTGGGGGTGTCTGGGCCCGTCTCAGCTTCTCTGCCACGCGGGTGGCTCTGCTAGCCTTTTAGAGGAAGCAGAGAGGGTGGGAACTCCCAGAGGGATGTTTGCCTGGGCAGGGTCATGGTCAAGTTAAGATGCCGGGCACTCTTGAATGTGCTGACCTGGAGATTGGCTACCCGAGTTTTCCAGGAATTTCAAGCAGGAAGTTGCGGGCTGCTGCAGGGCAGGCACAGTATCCTTCAGCTGCCCAGGCCACAGAGAGGAAGCCAGAGCACAGATGTGCCACCATTGGCCATGGGAGTGATCTGCGGAGCTGTCCCGTGGGTTGCTTTCTCCACAACAGGAGAAAGAGCGCTGTGCGAGGGCTTTACACGGGCGATGTGTTTAGTCCTGACTGGGTGTATCCCGTTATCATCATGCCCATTCACAGATGAAGACGCTGAGGCGTGGGGACCTTAGGTCACTGTCCCAAAGCCTTGTGGGAAGTGAGTGGTGGCACCAGAAGAGAAAGCTGGTCTGTTTACATACGATCACCACGGCCTTTCCCACTGTCTGGGGCATGGAAGATTTTCTCCAAGCAGTTTTATGTGGCAGCGTCATACCTGAGATGAATCAAAGCCCGCTTCTGAAGCCAGAGGCTCCTCTTGTCACATCTTTGTGTCCCCTTCTGCCACTCAGGCCCAGAGGGCTATGGTTTGAAGCCCACTGATTTGTCCAGGCCCCTTGTTTTCTGGAAGGACCATGGAGTTTCTAGGGCTCCTGCCGGGAAAGAAGTTGCAGGGTAGAGCAGAGCGGGCTCTTTGCTTCTGTGCCTGCCACCCCTCCCCCCTGCAATGAGCATGTAGCTGAGCTGGAGCTTGGGGTGGGCATCCCCATGGGCCCGGTGGGAGGGGGGCAGCCTGGGACTGCAGGAGACCACCTGGCAAGACGCTTGGCCTGAGCGATCCATTCCCCATGCTCCCTCCTGGCTCCCAGACTTTGCTTATGTTTTGCACCTGCCTGGAATCATTTTCCCTCAGCTTTCTAGTCTAGTGGGTCTTTCCCCTCTAGCAAAACAAGTCCGGTGAGGGTAAAAGCACAGAAATAAAAAGCTAGGATAAGTGAAACAGAAAATCATATACATTAGAAAGGATGGATGGATGCTCAAAATCAGTTCTTGGACAGACCTCTAATGCTCTCCCGAGACTGACCACGGAAAAAAGCAAAAAGCACAGATCGCCACGGCAGGATAAAGGAAGAGGGTGTCGCCACAAAGCCCGTGGACTCCAGAAGGAAAATTGGACCCTTATGCCAATAAATTTAATTTAGATGAAATGGATGATTTCCTAAAAAATATAACTTACCAGACTGCCAAAGAAAAACGAGAAAAAAAAAGAGTAATTCTAAAACTACTGAAAAAATGGAATTAGTCATTGAAAATCCTCCCACAAAACATCCTCTGGCTCCAAAGCCTTTAATAGCTAGTTCCTTCAAGCGTCCCAAAACCAAATAATTCCAGTCTTACACAATTTGTTCCGAAGAAAATCAAGAGTGTGCACTCCAACTCATGTTACGAGTCTTATGTAACTTTGACACAAACACTTGTCAAAAGTGACATGAGAAAGGAAGCTTGTCCCTACGGACACACATTCTATTTTTTTTTTTAATTTAAAGATTTTATTTATTTATTTGACAGAGAGAGACACAGCAAGAGAGGGAACACAAGCAGGGGGAGTGGGAGAGGGAGAAGCAGGCTTCCCGCCGAGCAGGGAGCCCGATGCGGGGCTCGATCCCAGGACCCTGGGATCATAACCTGAGCCGAAGGCAGACGCTTAACGACTGAGCCACCCAGGTGCCCCACACATTCCATTCTTGTCCATCCTCTTCTCTGGCCCAGGAAGCCAAACTATGTGGATTGCATCAGCGGGACTGCAGGTCTTCTGGCTTCGGCTTGGGCTTGGGCACTAGGGAGCTCCTCGAGGTGTGGGAGAGGTGAGGGGCTGTGGGCCTCAGCCTGGACGCAGCCTTCAACCAATGGCTTTCATTTCTCTCTGGGGGGCAAGGTGGGGATGGTATCCCCCGTCCTTTCGTCCTTGGGTCTAGGGGCAGTCCCCACATTGTTACTAGCCTCAGAGTACTAAAACACCCCTTTGGTTTCTCCACACTCAGCCCACATCTTGCTAAACAACCTCTTTATCAATCCATTCCCAGATCATTCAAATTTAAGTGTAATCTATTCTTTACTAGGACCCTGACTGGCATAGGTTTGGGCCCAGGACCAGAAGCTGCTCCTGGAAATTGTCCTTCTACATGGGATTCTGGAATTGGGTTGCTCATCTAAGCCGGTTCAGAGACTTGGAATCCCCAGACCAGGAAGACCAGGAAGGGCCTTGCAATGCCAGGTTGCCAGGTGAAATACAGGATAGTTGGTTAAATTTGAGTTTCAGATAAACAGTGAGTAATTTTTTTAGCATAACTTTACCCTTGGCAATATTTTTTGCTCAATCTGGAAACTCATAGGCTTCGCTAAGCCTTCCCCAGAGGAGCCTGCTGTCATAGAACCAGGGTGACTCTGCACTGGGGAAAGAAATCCTGAGACCTTCTGGGATTATTTGATGATGGCTCCAAATGGATGGTATCCTCTAGAGACCTGAAAATCCACTCAGGCCCACCGGTCAGAGTGGGAGCTTATGGAGATCGGACGCCAGTTACTCAGTTGTGTTTAGAGCGGACGTTCAGCTAGCTCTTTTTCAGCTCAATGATCTTTATACAATAGAAGTCTCCCAGAACTACAGAATCTGTAATTTTAGAATCATTTTGTTGCTGCAGCGTCTTGGCATCCAAGCATCCTACAAGCCGTCTCCAGTAGCTCTGGGAAGTCTTAGCGCCCTGCCCTCTTAGATCAGAATATACTGGAATTGGCTTCACTACGCAATGTTGTGGTTTTCAGAGGTCTGTTTACCCACTGAAGTCTATTCTCATGGAATAACTTATTGGCAAGCCGGGATCTATCACCACTTAAAACTAAAACTGTTCAGGGAAGCAGAGCTGGGACACCCTGGATTTACCCTCCTCCCTGTCCATCTCATTTCATTCTTTAAAGCTCTAAGGAATATTCAGATAGTACAACCTTTCCACTCTACAGAACAGATCTCTGACTGCAGGAGTGGCTAATGAGCAGGGAGTGAGCCAACACTAACTAGCATTCTCTGCCTCCCTCCCCCCTAGGCTGGCTCTCTCCAGAGAAAGGCAAGCCTACAGAGGAAGAGAATATCACGTTTGTAGCCCTGGAGGACGGAGGTCCCTCCACCACTCCCAAAAACAGTGCAAGACTGCTTCCTTACTCCTTCCTTCACACCACCTTCTCTCCTATCTCTGTATTTGCTTATAGTATCCCATCCACCTGCAATGTCTTCTTTCCATCTGGCCCCAACAGGAATCATCTGAGGCCTGGCTTAAATTGTGTCTGGTCGTGGGATACCTGGGTGGCTCAGTCGGTTAAGCATCTGCCTGTGGCTGGCTCAGGTCATGATCCCGGGGTCCTGGGATTGAGTCCCGAGTTGGGCTTCCTGCTCAGCAGGGAGCCTGCGTCTCCCTCTGTTGCTGCTCTCCCTCTGCTTGCTGCTCTCCCTGCTTGTGCTCACTCACTCTCTCTCTCTGAAAAACAAATAAAATCTTTAAAAAAATTGTATCTGGTTGTGAAGGCTTCCAGCCTACACAGATTTCACAGGGGACAAAAACTTGCTCTGAAATGGATGGTTTAAAAATTTTTCTTAAATAGAAAACCGAAGGACAAACCATAAAGGAAATTACTGATAAATGGACCATATTAAAATTAGGAGACTGTGTTCATAGAAAAGCATCTTTAAGGGAGTGGAAAGGAAAACTACACAGATTATGAGAAGGTATTTCAATTTGCACACCTGACGATTCTTATTCAGAATATAGAAAATACTTCTACTGATTCATAATAAAAAGAAAAACTACAAATGGACAAAATCTAAATCTAATCATTCTAAAAATGGACAAAAGACATGGTCTAGAAACTCATGATAGAAGATATCCAACAAATATTTGAATAGATGCTCAACCTCCTTAGTCATGAGTAAAATGAAAATTTAAACCACAACTATGTGGATTATGGGGAATTATACTCATAAGCAGAATGGCTAACTTAAAAAGAATTAACAGAAAGAAGTGTTGCAATGCCAAATGTGGAAAAACTCTAGCCATCATACATTGCTGGTGGGTGTGGGTGTAAATTGATGTGATAGGTTTGAAAAATATTTGGCAGTATTTGAACAAGGGTTTGGTGGTTGAACATATACATACCCTATGATCTATGTGTATATTTCTTTTTTTTCCTTAAATTTTTTTATTGTTATGTTAATCACCATACATTACATCATTAGTTTTGATGTAGTGTTCCATGATTCATTGTTTGTGCATAACACCCAGTGCTCCATGCAGAACGTGCCCTCTTTAATGCCCATCACCAGGCCAACCGATCCCCCCCACCCCCCCCCTAGAACCCTCAGTTTGTTTTTCAGAGTCCATCGTCTCTCATGGTTCATCTCCCCCTCTGATTTACTCCCCTTCATTCTTCCCCTCCTGCTGTCTTCTTCTTTTTCTTTTTTCTTAACATATATTGCATTATTTGTTTCACAGGTACATATCTGTGATTCAACAGTCTTGCACAATTCACAGCGCTCACCATAGCACATACCCTCCCAATGTCTATCACCCAACCACCCCATCCCTCCCACCCCCCCACCACTCCAGCAACCTTCAGTTTGTTTCCTGAGGTTATAAATTCCTCATATCGGTGAGGTCATATGATACATGTCTTTCTCTGATTGACTTATTTCACTCAGCATAACACCCTCCAGTTCCATCCACGTCGTTGCAAATGGCAAGATCTCGTTCCTTTTGATGGCTGCATAATATTCCATTGTATATATATACCACTTCTTCTTTATCCATTCATCTGTTGATGGACATCTTGGCTCCTTCCACAGTTCGGCTATTGTGGACATTGCTGCTATAAACATTGGGGTGCACGTACCCCTTCAGATGCC